CCCTATTTTATAAATTTTTTTTTTTTTTTTTTTTTTTTTTGCTTAAAGTAGATGAGAGTGGAAGAAAACAGGTATGATTTTTCTGCTGACATTTAGAATGGCAAATTCTGGGAAGTTTTGAGTATTGAATAGAATATTATTTGACTGGATTTATTTTAGGATGTGAATCAACCTTCAAATCATTCGGTGGGATGCTTCTAAAGCTGCAAAATATAAACTGTGTGGGCTTATGAGGAGGTATGTATCTGTGAGAGGTATATCTTTGTGTCATCTAGGAGCCTCTGTCTTGGAATAACCAGTTTGCATTCGGGGCAAACGTCCCTGCCCCATCCTCCCTCATCTCTAGCTTCACTCACTGGTGGAGCTGATGGTCAGGCTTCATGATGTTGGGTGGACTTGCTTCTGAACTGTACCTCAGATGCCTTTCTGCGCTCATACCCCACTTGTTCCTATTTCCCTGGTTTTGTATCCTACCCAGACAGTAAGTGATGGCACTTAGCTAAAATCAGAAGAGGGATAAGGTGCTTGTTACAGGTGGCCAGCTTGTATGCTGAGCCAATTCCACACTCTGCTGATATAATCCTTCATACAGTTGTGGTCGTGAGTGTATTCACAGTGTGGTTCACGAGGTGGGGGGAAGAGTTTTCTGATCTATGTTCCCTCTGGGTCAGGAAGCAGGTCTTCATTGATGAGTATGCTGTGTGTACAACTGGTAGCCCCTCTCTCATCTCCTCTACGTCTGCTTGTTTGGTTTTTGACTGTACTTCTCCCTTCCATTTCCTTTTGTACCTTTCCTACCCAGTGCCTGCCCAAGGTACAGAACTTTCTTCTGGCCATGGCCAGACTGAACTTCAGTAGCACTGGGGAGGGAGTCTGGCATCCCAGCAACAGTGGACTGTGTTTCTGGTATCTTATACTTGCATCTCAGGGCATGGTACCACTGGAAAACTGGCTTTTTGGGTGCCTTCAGAGAGCGCTGTTCAGGTTTGTTATTCAGTATTCCTTCTGGTTTCTTCCTCCTACATGTTTTCCTTCCTCTAATCCACTGCCGCCTTCTTCTGTTTCATGTTGCCTACAGGCATTTTCTTTTTTTCCCTCCTGGCTGTTTACTGTCTTACCTTTCTTTGGTGCATGGAGGAGAAACTACTGAATTTGTTAGCAATAGCCATAAGCCTGTTCTTAACAGGGGGAGCCTGTAGGAATGTAGAATGTGTCCAGGGCACGTCTTGTGGACTGGATTAGCTATGCAGTTTGCTGTATTATTTTCTTGGAGGGGAATCAGTTAATGTTAATTTAGAAATGGTATGGTCTCAACTGTGATCTAAACCAGCTAAATTGCTTGGAGAGTGTCACTTGAGATGTTTGCTTCGTCTGTAGGAGAATTCTTCTGCTAATGTGCCCTTTTGTGGACGATTGTCTAGATGTCTCATCAGTCTGGAGAGGCTTGTTCTTAGTGCTATGTGCTCTCTGGAGAGCTTATTTTTAAATAGTTACTGAAGCAACAGTCTTCTAAAATGCTGCAGTGTTAGGATAGAAGGAATTAAAATGTTTAGTAATCCTCTAAAAGGGTAGACTGAAAAGATATATTTGTCTCTCCTATTCTAGCTAGCTGAAAATGTTGGTGAAACTGTGTTCTAGAAGACTACTTGTTTAATTCATAGTTTTCTTCCTCAAAACTCCTTTACTCTAGTTTAAATTGTGGACGTTTCCAAACTGAAATACTGTTAAAACCAAATGTTTTATTTCAGAACTCCTGTGCACTATCCTTCATCCTCTGCTATAAAAAGATGACTTATTTTCACCTGTGATGAATTCTGCCATGTTAAGATGGGCTGCATCTTGAGATAGTCGCCTTGAAGCTGTTGCTCCCATGGAGCAATAAGGTGCTATTGCACAAACAAAATTACTTTTTCAAGGAGAAGCATTTTGTAAGACTTCCTTCTTTGTGCCAAAAACCTGGGGACTTTACTGTTTACCCTCTGCCAGAAAATTTCAAGGAAAATGTTTTTCAAGTAGTCCAATTTCCTTATTGCGTTGTACTCCTGCAGCATTGTAGTGGTTCTACTTTATATGATTTTCTTTCTTAAGCTAAAGTCTTCAGATGACTTGTCAGTACAACAATTACACTTAATGAAGTTATTGTATTCATTTGAAATCATATATGTCACTGATAAATCAGATGATTAATCAAATATTGCATAATGTCACCTCCAAATACAAGGGGTTGTCTTTTTCCAAGTCGTCGATCCATTGCTGCTCTATTCCTGTACTCTTCAGCTATCACAAAAGGCCCTTTGTTGTTCATCTGACTGTTAAACTGCGCTTATTTTATGCTTCATCAAGCTCTCGATGAGCTCAAGGTTTATAATATCAAAAGTCTGGATCTCCAAAGGTGAGAGAAACTAACAGGTTTCAGAAAGCTGTTGGGATCAACCAGCATACAAGAAAACATCCCAGGCAGTCAAGGCTATTTTGGTGGTAGAGGACAATGGTGTTGAATTCTTTATTATGCATTCATGCAAACTGTGATGATAACTTTCAGGCTTGATGCTTTCTCACAGTCAGTGTCTGCTGGCAAATTCAGCTATTGGGCATGGTACTTTGGTTCTAGGCTTTCAAGAAAGCAATGAATTTCAGAAACATGGACTACAACAAAGCTGAAAGAGAGGGCAGTGAAAAGAGAGGAAAGGACAAGATGGCTGAGTAGGTTCAAGATGCACAGGTCAGACTTGACCCAGTAGGATGGTGCTTGCTGCACACCAGCTGCTCTCGGTTGTTCCTCGGTTGTTGGTGTCACAGCAGAGGTGGATCTTGAAGGGAAGACTCTGAAATGGACTAGAAATAAAGTGCTGTGAGATTAACACAGTAAATTAAGATGACTGTTAATTTCTTCTCTTGGATTTGAGGATGAATTGCCTTGCAATGCTGTGCTAATTACAGCAATTCGGGAAATGATTCACAAGAGTGGGTAGCTGAGTGTGGTCCTTCTAACAGCTGTTTTAGCTTAAGCTAAGTTGACTTATTTACTAGAATTGTGCTTCACTTGCTACAATGGCAATTGCAAATGCTCAGTTTTAATTCCCATGACTTGACTGAATGGAGTTCTCTGACACCTGACAGAAGAATGGGATCAGCCTTCAACCTGTCTATGGTCAGACACTTTAGCTTCTATTTAGAAAAGTTTCTTTACAGTGGTATGGGCTAGAAGGTTTTTTCAGTGCTGTAAATTAAATGCTAGGCTGTGTAACACAATCATGACACTTAGTGTTAAGTTACATCACGTATTGCATGATTTTACTGGGATTTGCTGCTTGCTTCATGGTGTAGGCTCCAATATGGAGGCAATATCCTTAATATAAGTATCAGGAAATCTGCAAGCAAGTAGATTCTGTGATACTGTTCTCAAATGCAGTAATGACTTAAAATACATTTTTTTTCAGTTATAAAAAACCATATTCTCCTGTTTCCTCGAGCAGAAATGCGAAAGATATTAGTGTTCCCATTTGATGGGATAGCTCCTGCTGTGCAAAATACAAGTTGCTGTGACTTATTGGAATTTATGCCACAGGTACGTGCAGCAAACACATGCAGTGTCTGTGGAGTTTCAGTTATGACAGCAAAATCTTTAAGTGGCAAGAACAAGGTCATGGGTGTGAGATTAACTTGCATACAGCAGTCCTTGTTGTGGAAAGGAATGTTTGGCAGGTGTTAACTTTTTATAGCCTGATAATATTCAGGTACTGCAGAAAAATTCTCCTTTCTGTGAAGGTCTTAAAAATGGTGGAGATATGAACCCTAGCTGTCCCCTTCAAATCTGGGTTCGAAGGGGCTTTTCTTTAGAGGTGGAGGGGGGAAAAACATGATGGGCTGACGGGTTACTAGAGCACTGAAACTGAGCAGCAGCCGGTTGCTGGAGTGTGTCTTCACCTGCAGTATCTAGTTGTTATATCTTAGAATGGGTATGGGAGGCTGGTGGTGGAAGTGAGCTGTGACCTCTCTCTCTCTCTCTCTCTCTGTGTCTCTCAGGCAAAGCCCTGACCGTAAGGAGTTAAAACTTGGAGAGGAATGAAGTGAGGTCAGCAGCATGAATAGTTTGTTCAGTAAATAATTTTCTTTGTATACTGACTCCATTCTTTCACTTGTTATTTGCTCCACTTACTCTTTTCCCTTCCTACACACACGCGCGCGCACGCAGTTTTTCTGGCTTTATTATTCTCTCTTGCCCTAGTTATCACCTTCCAATGGCCACTTGGCACTGTGACCCACCCTCTGGCTAAGGGAGCTGTAGATGATAGGTTTACTTTGAAAGAACCACCCTCAATCTGGGATGGACACCTATGTTCAGCTTAGAAGATGCAAGGCTGTTTTCCAGCTGCTCCTGCGAGTCTGCTTGCTCTGAGCACTGCAGTGGCTATACAGAATGCAGCACGGAGGAGGGAGAATGCCGTTCAGCCATACACAGAAGAATTAAGAGCTGTTGCCCAGCTTTTTTCCCCCTTGGTGGTGGGCTGTGAGATTCTGGGTGAGTGAACATCTGGTACGTGGCATGCGTTGTTCCAGGATTGGTGGGGAAATCCATTAAATTAGCTGAGCTCTTCCTGAGAATTTGGGTAAATGTAGGACGAAGCATTGGTTAATGCTAGAGTCTGCAAAACAGCAGGCTTTGATGCTAGTGCTTGGACATGATGCTATGAAGAGAAAAAGCTTTTAAAGGTCCTGTGTCTGAGGATCCACAGAAACCAGCTGGAGGAGAAATTAGGATTTTGGGGGTTGAGTGACCTTGAAAGTCTGTTCCAATGAAACGGCCCGTGTGACTGGTATTTAGGAAAATATTTTTTGGGAGGCTCTTTTGTTAGGGGGAGCAGTTTAAATGTCCTGCATCCGTTCAGAGATCCATTTTGATTTTTCAGTGAAAGTGTAATAGCTGCTACTTGTCACCTTTGTATGTGATCCTGTAAATGCTGCTATCCCCAGGCTCCTGAAAGATGTGCCGAATCTCTTTTTGTGGATATTAAATTGACTTTAAAAAACATGAAATAGATGCTTAGCAGGCATACTGTAGCATGGCAACTATTGAGAAGACAGCCCATGTGTAATCGTAAATATATACTTTTGGATTGGGGGGCTTTGGTTCCTCACCACTTGGCGATCTATGGTCCAGTGATTCCTGCCTGCTGTGGGAGTGCAGCCTCTGTGTTCCTTCCCTTTCCCTTAGGGCACTGTTGTCTGCTTCATTCTTCTGAGATTTTTATGCTTTCCATTGTGTTTTCTTAAATGAAAAGGCAACTCTAGAAACAAACAAACAAAATTCCTTTCTTGCTTGTTTTGTGCTTTTCACTTAGAAAAAATGATTTTCCTTTCCCTGGTATGGCAGCATTATTAAAACCAGGACTTACTCTCTGTTAAGCTCTGTTACTGCAGAGCCAGTGGGATAAAGTGAATATACTGCTTGCTATGAGAGTTGTTTTTTTTCCCCTTGGTTTAAATACTGATTGTAGCAAAATTACAGATCTGAAGATTCTAGATCAAGACAACTGTTCATTGTTCTCTAAACAGACTTCAGATACCGCTTTCCTATAGCTACATTGTTCAGTGAAGTGCATTCCTTTTCAGTAAATAGACAGGCTTTAAGGCCCTCAGGTTCTTCAGATCTGAAACAATAGAAGCAATCATTAAAACTAAACACAAGAAGAAAACAGTTATAAAGGGGGGATTTCTAGTAGTGCCCCTACCTCCAGCTGGTTGTTTTTTTTATCCTAGGGTGCTGCGTCGCCTTCTCCTCCACTTGTCACACAGCACAGCTGTCTGGGTGTGCATAGTCTGATCAGAAAACTGATACAGGTTAAAAATAGCCTTGTTGGAATAAAAGATAGTGAACCTGGTCAGGTTTACTGTGGAGTCCCATAGCTGTTTTAATGGCATTACTAGTCAGGTAGGGATGATTTGGTGATGAAATGAAGATGGGTCTATGGTCAGTGCTTCTTGAGGTATGGGAGGAAACACAGTGAATGACAGAAACCAGTTGTTGCTTGATGGTCTTGTATTTGGGAGGACATACTTGATACCTGTGGAGAAAAAGGAGGAACGTTTTCAAGAGAAGTATTAAAAGTCTATAGCTTGTATGAAAGAAAAAGACAACAGAAGCCAGTTAATGAAGGAGAGAAAATGCAGCTGGTGGTTAGATGAGGTGCCAGAAAATCACTGTTTCTGTTGAACCATTATTCTTATTTTTCTGGTATAGGGTTTTGGTTCCTAGCTTGTGTTCTGACTGTGTCCTGTGTCTCTAGGGCCCTGACTGAGAGATGGATGGAGCAGTACTTCTGAAAGAACGTAGTTGTTCTGTTAGCTGCTGTCTGCTTTCCCTCTTAGCTCAGTAAACTAACTTCTTCTTGTGTGCTTGTGCACTCGTGAACGTGGTCACTTCTTCTGCCTATATCAACTGGTTTTATAAAGAAAAATTACCTCCTCCTGTACATGACCTCATAATATTTGTACTAGCATTATATATGCTAGTTGCTTGTTCTTAATTACTACTGAATATGGGAAAAACTCAAGGCTTCTAATAATTGAAGAAATTACTGTGTTTTCCTGCTAATTGGCCATTAGGAGCAGCTTGGTAAAATGGTTGGAGCACTAAAAAACTGTGGTGAAAAATTGCATGGAGTTGGGTTTTTTGTTGAGTTTTTTTGTTGGGTTTTTTGTTTGTTTGTTGTGGTTTGGTTTTTTTCCTTTGGGTAAAGCTAGTTTTCAGATTGATGTTCCAGGTAGCCACCTGGGTTACATTGAAATGTTTCTAGCCATGTACCTCCTCTTTATGATTGTTTCAGAGGGCTTTGCACTGACTCAGAAAGGCACCTTTGACTGTGTGTGTAGCCACAGGAAGGTGCTTTCATGTAAAAATCATTGGGGAGGGGGGACTGTATATCAGGACTTGTTTGTGAAATGGTTGGGTTGGGAATTGACTTAAACCCTCACCGTACTCAGAGAATTAAAGGAGGTGATTTGTCTCACCGCTTAAAGATGAGCAGCCACTTTCAGGGATGGAGTTCCTTACCTCTCTGCAGAGAGACTTGAAATAAGATGCCCTGCCTGCTCTCTGGAGGAGTGCAAACCAGGTGTAGTCAGTGTAGCCTTAAAATAAATGCTAGTGAAAAAGCAAAGGTCCTAACCTTGACAGGTCTGAATGTTACTGGGCTATACAAAGCCTAAAAGAGAAATTGAAAGGAAGGACCCTTTCTGTTTGTCTTTCCTGTTTCACAGAACTTGCATATGAACCGGGGCGGAGTATGCAGGAGAATGATACTGATAGTTGCTTTTCTGTCTTTCTCCTGTACTTTGCTCTTTAGTTTAACTAGGCATTTGGACCATTGCAGGATTTCTGTCTGTAGCCTGTTCTTATCTAGGAAAGTAGTGTTACCTTTTAAACCGGTGAAAATACTATTGATCTAACGTTATACTGAAGTTCTTTCATCTCTAGCTGTTCTGGCCGTTTTGCAAAATGGATAAAAGTCCTTGTCCTCTCAATTTTTGAAGGAGATAAATAAAATGCGGTGTTATTGTATTGTAGTTCACCTTCATAAGCTTAGACACAGGTAGGATAAGAATCTAGGTCTCTTCCTGTTCCTGGGATCAGTGCGTTAAGACGGAACTTTTCACTGTGTTGCAGATGTGATATATGTTTGTGGGCATGAATAGCAACTATTGAATATTTATGTATATACTAATGAAGCCCTGCATCTGTTTTTACATATGCATGTGGGTATGGATTTGCAAGATACCGGTGTGGGTGTGAATAGATGCAGGCCTGGGAAAATTGCGATAGCTTGTAACTGTGCCACTTGGCACATACACTGTGTACAAACGCATGCTTGCAGAACAGTATTAAAAAGCAAAATAAAAATTTCTACCTTCCCTTCCCAAAAAGAGTAGTGAACCCTAGGTCTTTTTTTAAACATAATTACCACTTGATGAAAATCTTGATAAAAACCTCCTGCTTCCTGTCTTTGGTGACTTTTTGAATGGGAAGCACTGTTGTGTGGCACTGTTTACATCCCCAAGTAGGCAAGCTTTGCAATACTATAGGCAGGAAAGTGAATGGTGTTAGAGTGAACTTGACAACCCTTTTTAATATACTCTGCAATTTAGAATTTGGGTGGCAGGTGAAGTTGGCAGTTTCATTGGACTGCATGTTGGGAGTTATTTCTAGGGATGTATGCATTGAGCCTGTTCTGTGACAAAGGTGCTCCCTCACCCTGTGCTTGCTTTTTTTAAGAGATTGGTGATTCATAGTTACATTACAAAATCTGATCTGCTGGAAGTTGGGGTTTAGTTACAAGAATGCTTCTGAAATCAGTAGTGTGTTTTATTTGCCTACCTACAGTGTTATTGAAGCTACTCCTTGGCGCCTGTAGTGTGTCTGAAATTTCCATCATACCTGATGGTCCCCAGGAACCATTTCTGTTTCTTTAACACAATTATGTTGTAGCAAGAGCCTCAGTACTTGGTTCTGAAATAATTTTGTTGGTGCAACTATCACTCTAATTTAAATGTTGGAAGACTGCTGATTTACAGGAGGGAATTCTACGATTTTACCACAGGGTCTTGATAATTTGAGAAATGAGAATACAGTGTTCTGCTCTCTTATTGTTTCTTTCTTGGTAGCGTTGTTTTTAAAAGGTGTCCTGCCTTTTCAGAGGACTGACTTAGTGCAAGCAGCCTGTTTTGCTTTTAACTTTCACAGTATCTTTTAAACTATTGTTTTGGTGTCTATTCTGTCATCTTTGTCTGAAAGTTTCTGTTTATATTTCTAACTCTACCACTGAAGCCTTATAACGCAGGGCTAGCCTGATGAATAGTAATTAGCCTCTGTTGTAATTTTGTATCATTAAGTGCTCTTTTCCAGGAAACCAAGGAAGAAACATTCCTCTTTAGTATCTCTGTTCAGCGGCTTTGTCAGTGTAATGCACGCAGGTCTTGAGTGCCAAGTACGGACTATATTGGGATCTTCCCTGCAAATGTCCCAACTGTTACTACTTTTTAAAAAAGATGTTAGCTCTATGCACAATAGGTGCCTGAACTCTATATAAATTTGCCAGTCTCCTCAGTTGAAATACACAGTATAGTGATTTTTAGTACAATACTAGTTCTGGCAGCAGTCATACCTACTGGTTTCTTAAGATGTCTTATTACAACAGATGAAAAAAAAATGGAGGCAGGGAAGATCAATGCTTGAGCAGTTTCATAGAGTGGAAAGTAGTGAATTAATAGGCAGTCCAATAACAGGAATTTCAGACTTTAACTGAATTGGAGTTGATATTTGAGGATCAATATGTATACGCTCGCCCTTTTTGCAAGGCAGTGAGTGATCCTGTCCTTCATATTGCAATGTGTGGCATTCTTCTGCTGGTACGAGACAGCGTGCGCTACATCTGGTTATGATGTTTCCCCATGGGTGTATTTCCTCCCTTGAAATCACTATGCCCTCGGGTGTACTTTTTTAATATCGGCCAGTATGACTGCAGA